TTTTGTTTGTTTTGAGGTTTTTTCTTCAATTGAAACTACTATTCGGAATCCAAATTTATACTGTTCGCAAAAAAGAATTCCTCGAAAGGAAAATGACAACAACGGAGGTAGCAATGCATAAAGGATTATATAAAAGGGAGAAGTGGAATTTCCGATAAATATGCCAAATTCAGCCAAGAACACTTCAACAAAAAAAATTGCAAAATGAATATGCTGAACAGAAATGCAAGTAAACCGCAACAGCTTAAAACGAACCTTGAGCCCATGGAAACTTGACCTCAGAACTGGAATCCGAGACATCTTAAATTCCCCGACGCCCAGTGAAGCACCTGAAAAAAATAAACATCAAACTCAGTAGGTTTACATGATTTAGTGCAATTTTTTTCACGAAAATCCCACTTTTGATACAGAGACGAAAACTAAGTATTGGATCTCAAGCATAAACCCGTGTTTCGTTTGTATAATTAAGTTACGATTGTGAAAAGAAGTTACAAAAACTACCCTTGTTTGATTGTGTCCATGGAGCAAAAGCACCAGCTGGTAACTGTTGGAGCATCTACCTCCTTCGACTTTACTTTAAATCCGGAAGTGAACGATTCTGAATTATTGAATAGGATTGGCAAATAATATATATATATGTTTATTAATCACATAGCACAGAAACCAAAACCAATAGAAGAACATAGAAATAAAGTATCACTATACATATATATATAGTGACAAAAGTGATTAGGCCCTTTGGCGTTCTTGATATTGTTGACGAGACGAAGTCCGTCACATTCCAAAACTAATACTAGGAAAATATTATAAACGAAAACTTCAAACTCACTATTAAACTTTTAGTGTGGATTATGCCGGGGGTTAAACAAAGCTAGCAATTTGACGATTGGAGGAAACGGACTTGGATAAAACGCTTTCCATACAGTAATAAAATACACTTTAATCGACAAAATCCAATAAAATCCAGAGTCTCACTAGTCACTACCATCAGCTAATTAAAAATTCAGATATGAGACGCTTAAGATTTTGTTTAATTTTGCCAAACTTCAAGTTTTTGTAGCTAATTCTAGAACCATCGTTTTCCATTTAAAATAATGGCTAACCACTAATATTCATTTTCTTCCATGTTTTCAACAAACTCCAGTTCCAAAACACTAAATTAAAAATAAATAAAATCTATTCGACCTAATTTTC